GCCGCGGGTGGGGGTTGCCTCGGGTTGAACAAGTTTGTTAGTTGATATCTATATAATTGGAAAGGATTATGTTATATACAAGTTAATTTCCTTTTTTTTTATCTTCTGCTTGGTCCTTGACGTAGGACCTACAAGCTATTAGATTATCAAGTCGTAATTCTTCATTCCTTTTTCCTTCAGACAATCTATTAATACGTTTTCATCTACAACAAGGCTTCCATGTTGACCTTTAATATACGAGTACTTGTCTAAAAAATATGCTGCTTAATTTGATCAATGCTAGCAAAGAACTACTACATTTATCTAAATTTTGAAGCTTATAGCTTTAGGTTGAGATTTGATGGATGCTGGTCTTAAAATTAACCTGACAAATTATAAGTTCTAGTTTAGTTCTGAATTTTGTTTGCTTCTCTAGTCTCTACATTACAATCTTATTTGTGCTAGAAAGAAGAAGACATAGTTTTCAGTTTGGTAAATTAATGTCGAATTGTTTTGACAGTTATACATTGTGAGAAATCTTCATTCATTTGTCTTGTCTCGGTGATTTATGTTTTGGTTTCTGTTGTATTTCAGAGTAAACAGCAAATCAAGAAACCGAAGTATGTGCAAATTTCTGTTGAATCTTATTCACATTTGACTGGTGCACTGAAGGAGTGCATGAGGAACCATTTGACTGGTGCACTGAAGAAGCAAAGGCATCCAGGGAACAGCTCCTGATGGAAGTGGAATCAATGAAAAATTAGATGATTTTTCGGCCACTTATGTTGAGGTAATAAGCAACAGGTTGAGTATGGTAAATTTTGTCCTTGATCTATCTCATGTACTGAGTATGTTATCACATTGTTCTTCGTCCTATCAAATGGATTTTACTTTAGTGTGGAGGTAGCTACTGATATCTCAAATACTTGAAGTTTTTGTGTATCAGTGAATTTTGCTCCAACCCCCTAATCTTTGGGTGAAAAGAGTCAAGTTTTTTCTTTGACCATGATTGTCTTATATTTTGAATTATTAACTTTTAGTACTCATTGTACTTTTTATGTAGTTTCTTAAAATTTTATTTCAGACTTGAAGATTCTATGTCAGAATTTGCGTAGAAAATAAAGTTGTGCGACTCTCATACTCCGGACCCACCCACAAAATGTAACAGAGGGGGTAACACCGAAGGAAAAGGAAAAAATTATGTTTCTATGTGATTTCAATAATTTATAGCTGATCCGATGTCAGGGTCTCTTGTGAGTTTTCACCCTGATTAAGGTTCTTCATTTACCTGGGGTTTGCTGTTAGATAAATCTTTCGGGAACAGAACCTCTCACGAGGTAAGGGTAAGGTCTGCATACACTCTACCGTCCCTAGACCCCCACTTGTGGCATTACACTGGGTATGTTGTTATTTGTTGTCTATATAAACTGTGTAGGACTAGACTGCTCGTTACCCACTGCTCTGTTCTCCAGCATTGCTTGCAACTGACATGTCGATTTAAGATTACGTTTAGTGGCACTTAAACTGTATTTAATTTAATTTCCCGTTTGAATCAGGATGGAGACTGCTGCTGATCTTGATTCCAAGACCAACCAGGTAGCTTTCTTGCACCCTAATAAGTGATTAATCCATTCCGTTGTAGTTGTGTATTTGATGCAGTAGTTTACAGTACTAAATTTACTCTGAAAAACATTGTGCTTCTTGTTGGTTGTCTGGACTTTTGATCTAATTTCACATTAACTCAATAAAAGACAATAGATTTCAGTGATAGTGATGCTATGCAACTGAACTTTGAAATAAAATTTGCCTCTATTATATTGGTGTTTTATTGTTGCTAGCAAATAGATTTTTTTGTTTTGCTCCATCTCTCTAAGTTTGTTTCAGTGATAGAAGTTCCAATGCATATGAAAAGATTTGCAAATTA